TATGGTCTTCATTGTAGAAAATGTCTACAATAAACTTGTAATTCATCAAGATTTTGATAAAAACAAAAAATATTGAAATGCTATTACACTGTTGTTTAGATTATTTTATGTGTGTAAGTGTTTTTCTGGCATGTATGTCTGTTTACCATGTGAGTGCCTAGTGCCCATGGAAATCAGAAGAGTGTGTTAGATTGCCTAGAACTGGAGTTACAGACATTGTGAGTTGCCATGTAGGCTTCCTTAATGACTGAGCCATCTCTAGTAACCCCTCACACTGTGTTTAAATATAACCTGACATACTGAAATTGTGGATATTTGGGGATGGGGGATTTATTTCAGTAGTAGAGCCTGCCAAGTGCATGTGAGGGCCTTGGTTCAGTTCTCTAGGATGACAACCAAACAACAACCTTCTGAGTGGGCACTAATTCCTCCAGCTTTTAGGAGGTGGAAGCAGGAAGATCAAGAGTTCAAGGACAACCTGGTCCACCTCTGGAGTTCCAATTCAGTCAGGACTACAAAAGTGAGACTTTATCTCAGAAAGACAAAGCTATGACATATGAGGCTCCCTCAGTTTTAAAGAGGATTTATTTATTTTTTACTTACGTATTTGTTGTTTTTTGAGACAGGGTTCTTTTGTGTACTCCTGGCTGTCCTGTAACTCACTCTGTAGACCAGACTCAAACTCACAAAGATCCACCTGCTTCTGCCTCCCAAGGGCAGGTGTGCACCACCATGCCTACTTAATTTCCTACTACTCATATGCTTGCATTTTTAACTCTTTGCCCTGTGCCTTTTTTTAAAATTTATTATTATGTATACAGTATTCTGCCTGCCTATCTGCCTGCAGGCCAGAAGAGGGCACTAGATCTCATTATAGATGGCTGTGAGCCACCATATGGTTGCTGGGAATTGAACCTCAGGACCACTGAGCCACCTCCCCAGCCCTGCCCTGTGCCTTTTTTTTTTAATTTATTAAAGATTTCTGTCTCTTCCCCACCTCTGCCTCCCCTTTCCCTCCCCCAATTAAGTCCACCTCCCTCGTCAGCCCAAAGAGCAATCAGGGTTCTCTGCCCTGTGGGAAGTCCAAGGACCACCCTCCTCCATCCAGGTCTAGTAAGGTGAGCATCCAAACTGCCTAGGCTCCCACAAAGCCAATATGTGCAGTAGGATCAAAAACCCATTGCCATTGTTCTTGAGGTCTCAGTAGTCCTCATTGTCCGCTATGTTCAG